TTTTAAAAAATTTAATTAATTAATTAATTAATTAATTTGAGCTAGAGATCAAGTGGGGAGAGGGGCAGAGGAGAAGGGAGAAAGAGAGAAGCAGACTTCCCGCTGAGCGTGGAGCCTGCCACAGGGCTCGAACCCACAACCCTGAACCTGAGCCAAAATTAAGAGTGGGACGCTCAACCGATTGAGCCATCCAGGTGCCCCTAAAAAGAGCACAATTTCAAGAAAAGTTTCAATATCTTAGACTAAAGTACTGCTAGAAAACTTTGGGACATATCTCTTGAGCATATGGCTCAGTTGGGTGGCTCAGTTGGTTAAGCGTCTGACTCTTGGTTTTGGCTCAAGTCATGATCTCAGGGTTGTGAGATGGAGCTCCGCATGGGGCTCTGTGCTCAGCACGGAATCTGCTTGAGAATCTCTCTCTCCCTCTCTCCCTCCCTCTGCCCCTCCCCCAGCTCTCTCTCTCTCAAATAAATAAATAAATTTTTAAAATCTTTAAAAAAATAAAAAGAAGAATGATACAGCACCTTGTTGCCAATTAAGGATGTATATCTACAGTCTAGTATTATTTTGTTGTCAAACTTTTATTTAAAAAGGACATGAGAGTAACACAAAAACTCTATCAACATGGGTCAATGGGAAAGCCCAACAACAATAATCATATGTTCGAAGATGACTTTAAGTGTCCTATAGGATAAGTATTCAAAGGTTTAAAAAATTGAGCTAATGTGCAACCAACCTTGAAGAACCTGGTTGAGGAAATTCTTCATCATGTAGATGGCTGTAGTGTCTTCTGTTTTCACATGACTGTCTGTGAACCAGCCATTCTCAGCAATCAAGATCCGGGGGTTGCCATATTCCAGCTTAATCCAATTCAGCACTTCTCTTAAGTTGAGTGACACATTTTGTCCCATTTTAGCCATGGTGTTCTGGGGCTTGAAATTGTTGGGTCCAAAGGAAAAGGCAAAGAAGTCAGCGGTGCCCCTCACGTCCTTCTTCTCTGCTTCAGAGAAAAGGGGTAGAATGGAGAGCAACTTCTTTTTCATCACCTCTGGATAGTCTCCATCCCCGTGGATAGGGCTGGCAAACCACCCGAGCACGGAGACCATGGATTGTTGACACTTGAGTATATCCATCATGTTTTCTGATCTGTTTGGCTCAATCCAATGGGATCCCAACGTGATTGACACCAAACCCTTCTGATGTGGGCGGAAATTTGTGTTGTAGTTATGCCAAACTTTTGAATGAGCCTAATAAGAAGAAAATATTGTTAATCTTTCTTGTCCTTACTCACAAGGATTGTAATTTGGGCTGGTAGAAGGTCTTTCCAGGGACAAATTGGTGATGCACAGGGTGATGCAGGGGAGAGCTGTCAGGGAACCCTGATGATCGCAAAGTCTGTTCTCTGTCTGCTTCCCTTAGGCCTCCAACCTAAAGCCTTTCCTATAGGATTGCCAAGGGGCAGGCGGAGAACTCCGGTCCAAGCTGCATCTTACTTCTCCTCTCCCTGGCTCCCTTCATGGGCCCTCTAGGGGCTGGGTGCCAGTGACATATTATGTGGATTGTAGAGTTTCTTCCCCTACGTAAAAGACAAAGCTCAGTGATCCTTCTTTGTTCTACAGAATCTCCTTTGAGCCCTAACTTAGAAGTCCAAGAGAATGCACTCTCAAAATCCTGTAAATGGATAATAGAGCCCATCTTCTAGGCTTGTGAAGATTGAATGAATTAATATATGCAAAGGACTTTAGAACAGGGTCTGGCACAGAGTAGCCCCTCTATAAGCCATTATTATTACTACTATTACTATTATTTTTATAACATACTATTATTAAGATAATGATTTTATTTTTATAACTATTCTTTTATAACCATATTATTATTAATATAGGTTATTATTATTGTTATTATAAAAGGGTGGCAGGGACTACACACAGCAGGAAAGGGCGTGGGTTTTGGGTTCAGCACTCTCGGGCTTGAAGTTCAGGTATTTACCGTGTGGCCTTAGACAAGGTTAAGACATGGTTATTCACTTAACCTTTCTGAAATCTCTTAGTATCTTCAGCTGTAAAATGAAGTTAATAATAATGCCCTTTGTAAAGTTGTTAGATGTGATGCTAACGTATATATTAAATATGTAGCATACCATAAGGCCTGTAGGAGGTACTGCTCAAGATGCATCTTACTATTATTGGTCCTCCCAGAATTTACATTTCCAGTTGAGCTCTCTGATAACAGAGCCTCATGATGGGTTTCCAGTCTGTTTAATAGGTACTCACTGAGCGTTTACTTAATGCTTGGTTTGCCCTGCCCCGGGAGGCTGAAATAAACGGCACGGGAATGTGCCTTCAGGAGCCAATCATCTTATTTAGAAAATAAGACTGAATGTGCAAAAGAAAACAATAAAATGGCATAAAATAGGTCATTAAGTGACAAAATAATTAAAAGTTTGGTAAAGAGCCACGAGCTGTATCAGGAGGAGCAAATATCAAGGCCTACAGTTAAGGACTCTTGGCCAGTTAATGCTCAAGGTCACTTTGTGACCCGGGCAGCCTTAGAATTATCTTTATCTTTATCTTTATCTGTGTGACCGCATCTCTTCCCCTCAGACTTGCTTGCCTCCTGATGTCTCTTCGCAGGTGTCCCAAATTTCCTCTGTTTGGGTGTTTCTAAAACAAGTGCACAAACCCTTACTATTTTTAACCCACAATATCTGCTTTCTGTTCTGCTCCTTAGCTTGTCTTTCACTCATTAGAGGTATTTTATATTGGGTCAAATGATCTGAAATGCATTTTTGTAGGCCAAAAATAGTCAAATCTGAGCAATGGTTCAAACCTAATAGATCCTGGGGCGCCTGGGTGGCTCAGTCGGTTGAGCGTCTGAAGCTTGATTTCGGCTCAGGTCATGATCTTGGGCTCCTGGGATGGAGCCCCATGGCTTGCTTCCTGCTCCAGAAGTCAGCTTTTCTCCCTCTCCCTCTGCCTCTACCCCGCTCCTGTGTGTACACGTGCGCTCTCTCTCTCCCAAATAAATAAATAAATCTTAAAAAAAAAATAACCTAATAGATTCTGTGGACACTGATAATGTTCTATAAATTGGGTTAGGATGGGGAGAGATAGGTATTAACCTAGGAGGTAAGAATTCCAGGACTGATGCCTCCTTGCTTTATGCAAGAATAGCTCATTTAAATCCCCCACCCGAACCTGAGTTCCAGCTTCTGGAAGGAATCACAGGGGAGCCTGGGACAGACTTCACCTGAAGTGGTCTTAGTTGCTCCTTCTGGGTTTCTGTGGGGCTGGAATCACAATAGAAAGACTCAAAACTGTTTGTCAAAAGACAATAGAAAGACTCAAAACTCCTTTTTTTTTTTTTTTCTGATTTGATACAAAAGCAATCACGCATGACTAGAATTCAAAGGCAGCATTCTTAGCTCTATTCTGTCTCTTAATCCCTTGCTATCCTCAGTAATTTCATTCACAAAACCCACAGTGAACAGTACACCTCTTTAGGGCTGTTGTGTACTCTGTAAACCGTAAAGCACTGAGCACGCAAGATTCCAAGTCACAAACTAGCTGCCTCGCAAATACGATGGCATCAGACACTAAAGAGAGAGATGGAATCAGGATGCATTTATTAAATCAGTCCTCATAGGAACAAAAAAAGGAGAGGGGAATTTCTTTAAGGTAGATGTTCTAGTGCCTAGTTCAATGACTATATGAAAGTGACGTAAGCTGCGATAAATCTTGGTTGCATCAGCATTGTAATGAGAACGAGGACCACTTAGGAGACGACAGACACGTACATTTGCAATTCCCTTCCAAGCAAGTTTTCTGGAGATATGTATATATAGATACATATACATGTGTGTGGTCATGCCCCAAGGTGACCTTCGTATTCCACAGTGTCTCTTTCCCCTTTGCTGCTGTTTGCATAAGCTATCAAGGTATCTAGGGTTATCTTTGCTCTGGATTGAAGACCGCTCTCCACTCTCATGTGGGGAATGTGGGGGAGGTGCTTCGTGTGGCACTTATGGTTATAACTTGATTCTGTTTGCCAAGTAAAAAGGTAAAAAGTATTGCTCCAAGATAGTGAGTTTGACATAAATCTTAATGAAACAGAGATATATCTAGGTGTGTCCTTTGCTCTGACACTCATAAAGAAGATCTACTGGGAAGACTAAAATGGGGCTCACGAGTTCTGCCTGGGCCCTGCAACCTTGCACAATAGTCCTTGTGCGATTTTCAAGGTTACCCTCTATCTTGTACAAGGCCGTCTACCTTTGGAATGATTGATTTAAGGGAACTTCAACCTTTGTTCTTTAGATTCAGTAGCTTAAAGGGGAAGTCAGCAGCTTTTTCTTTCTGAACCAGCTATCAGGGGCTGATGTCATTGAGAGACAGCCAGGGGCCGAATATCTCGTTCTGTTCCCTCCTCTAGTCTAACTTGGCAGCTTTCTTTGATGCCCCCAGAAGACCAGACTCAGATAAGTTCTATGAATGATAGGGAAGCAAATAAGATAGCAGGCACAACTTTAGAAACAAGATGAAGATTGGGTCAGAGGTCAGGAAGACATGGTGGGATGCTGGTGGAAGACAAGGGTTGAAGACAGATGAGCAAACCTAGCACATCACACGTGTCCGTGTTTAAGGAACCCCCCATCTTTTGTCAAAAGCCAGATTTCCAAATCTGTACATGATTTTAGTCACATTGTGGTGGAAATATCTTCATGTAAACTCTAAACTTGCTTATTGTTAAAATTTTTTCATAAAGTATTACATAAAACCTGTTAAAGAAAATTTATTGTAAAATTCCACAACCATAGTAAACTGTTTTCATATTTCTGTGTTCCCTTCCAGCTTTTCCGAATATGTTTCCCAGCTAAAATCACTTCGAGCATTTTCCATCTTCTTACTCTTCATAACCATTCGCCAATTTGATGAAATATGGTTCACTTAGTCATCTCTCTTTTGATAGGAATTAGCTTGTTTTTCTTTCCTTCCTTCCGTCCCTTCATTCCTTCCTTCTTTCTTTCTCTTCCTTCCTTCCTCTCTCTTTTTTTTTTTTTCCTATCATAAATGATGTTGTAATAACTAACTTTGGGCATATGGCTTTTAATTTATTTGAATTATTTCCTTCTGTTAATCCCAGGAATGGGTTACCTATTTTCAGAATTGTTTTACATATTTCCAAATTGCTTTTCACACATTTTGTCCTTTGGTGTGAGTGTTCTTTGACCATCTGCTTCAAAACATTGATTGCTCTATTTGGGGATACGCGTTTAGCAAGAATGATAGGAAACTGCTACTTACCTCCATGGTACTATAGGGAAAGGACCCAGGTCTTGAAAGCAAGAGACACAGGCTCTAGTACTGGCCCTGTTGCTAACTGGTTTTATCATATTGGATAAATCATCCCTCCCCATGGCCTCAGTTCTCCCTCTGTTATTCTAGCTAAAAAGAAACTCGCTAGAGAATTGTTGTGAAGATTGAATGAGGTAGTACATGTGACGACCCTATGAAGACTACACAAATATAAATTTGAAGTACTTCAAAAGACGAAGCTGAAAATAATTTAACTTGCTGTGGAAAACAATGGTTTTGCATTGTGTGGACAGGAAGAGTGTTGTGCAGCTAGCTCTCCCTTACCTCTTGAGTTTCATGGCTAGATAAGTGTTTTATTTTTTGCAGCTGATTGAGTTTTAGTCATCGTCCATTTGAATTGGGATTAATTTCAGTTTGATTGGATGGAGCTAGAGTGTAATATGCTAGGGGGAATAAGTCAGAGAAAGACAAATACCATATGATTTCACTAGTATGTGGAATTTAAGAAACAAAACAGATGAACATGGGGGAAGGGGAAGAAAAGGGAGAGGGAAGCAAACCATAAGAGACTCTTAACTAAAGAGAACAAACTGAGGGTTGATGGAGGGAGGTGGGTGGGGGATGGGCTAAATGGGTGATGGGTAGTAAGGAGGGCACTTGTTGGAATGAGCCCTGGGTGTCATATGTAAGTGATGAATCACTAAATTCTATACCTGAAACCAAAAATAATAAAAATAATAATTTCAGTTGATTCATTGATTCATTTGTTTCATCTACTCAGTACTTCTTTACATTAGTTTCAAGTTTTCTGCTAATTATAATCGCTGCCCTTCCAGATTATTTAACATTCATTCATTCATTCCTCATTCCACAAATATTTATTGGGGGCTTAAGGGATGCAAACTTTACTGTTCGTTGCTAAAAAATATGTG